GTGTTAGCGCGGCCCGGCCCGCTCCGCACCGACGAGTCGCGCCTGCCGCCCCGCTCCGCTCCGCCGCGCCCCTCCGCCCGCCGCCCCGAGCCCATGAGCCTGAACGAGCACTCGATGCAGGCGCTGTCCTGGCGGAAGCTCTACCTGAGCCGCGCCAAGCTGAAAGCCTCCAGCCGCACCTCCGCGCTGCTCTCCGGCTTCGCCATGGTGAGCGCCCGGCCTGGCCCGGCGGGCGAGGGGGCGGCTCGGGACCGGGGCGGGGAGCGCTGCCGCCGCTTCTCCTGGTGCCGACCGGTGCTCGTCGCCTCCCCGCGGCTGTGGCTGCAGCGGGGCGGGGACGGGCCGGGGCCGGGCGCTGTCCCCGCTGCGGTGGATACTCCCTGGGGACCGGGGTGGGGGCTGCATCCCCTTCCCTGGCAGCGCTCCCGGGCAGCGGCGGAGGCGCGGGGCGCCCCGGGAGCAGCGGGTCCGTGCGGGGTGCCCGGGGGTTCGTTTGCTCTGCAGAGCTTCACGCGATGAATTAGGAGCTGCCTCTCCGCTTTTACCTCCGCCGGACAGTGCAGGGTTTGTTGGATCGTAGCGGATCTTCCCCGCAGAGGATGCTCGGGGCCGCAGAAGCCGCGTGTGCCGCGGGCAGCCCCGCAGGGCGGTGAGCGCGAGATCACCGGAGTGTATTTCGGGGTTTCGGTTCACTCCGGTGTCAGGTGCGAAGGGCCGGGCCCGGGGCCCCGCAGCGCTGCCTGGGTTGCGGTGCTTCCCCTCCCGCTCCGCTTCCCGGACCGCACGCTTTGTGCAGCAGTTGCACTGGAGCTGCTTTCAGATAAATTAAGAAAAACAACTGATTAAAGTTGGCGGTCTCTCTCCGACTCGTTACATCCGTTATCAACCCTTTGCGAAGTTTCTCATTTTTTAGTTACGGAAACCAGAGGTGTTGCTTACTTTGCAATTTAGTGCATGGTTTAGGAATGGGTTTTGTTGTGTTTTGCTTTCGGGTTTGATGAGAAGTAACCCAGTGTAGTAACCCGAATTGTCTTAGATGAAAGCTCCATATAGGTGGAAATACGGTTACTTGCCGACTTCCCCATCAGTCCAGTCCTCTGACGTACGAAGCTGCGAACTCTGCCCTCAGCCCCTTCATGCATCTATTAAAAACGCCTCATAGTTTAGAAATACCGAATTGCGCTGCTCTGACTTGCTTCGTCTTAATTTTTTGAGCCGCTTTTAACATACTGGGTATTTTCAGCCGTAGGATTTACTCCCCTCCAGAGTCATTGTTCCATTGATGCTGTCGGGAAACACAGCAGCCTTCTGACGGTCAAATAAATGTCACTGTCCTCCTTCAATGGCTAAAAACAGACCACAGCTCTTCGGGGAGGTGGTGGAACTGCTGTTGGTTTGAGTGACAGGCGGCTGTGTTCGTGTGGCGTGTTTGAGTTGGTTCTCCTTGGGAAACGCATCCAGCCGGGAGCTCACTCGCTGCTCCTGCTTAATGAGTTTTCCTTGTTGTACATCCCCTCTCCTGTGTCGGAGCAGTTTGTCAGGGTGGCTGCTCGAGTCAGAGAGAAGACAGAAAAGAACCCTGTTGTTTGTTGGTTTTTACAAATTTTCATTTAAGTGAGGTTGCATCTCAATGTAAATGCTGTTGTTTTACAGTTGTACTTAATGTCTTAAACTCCTTTGAGTTTTCTCTAAATATATAGTATGTGGACTCTCCAAGTCCATGGATGTATGAGGTGAGGCTTCTTTTACTTCCTTCTTGATTCTCTAGAATAATTCTAGTTTGGTTGAAAATTGCTGCTTTTCAGTTTGTTGTTTAGAGTATTTCAGAAAAAAGCCACTTTGTTCTGATTAACAGAATCTCCAGTGTCCAGGAATGTTATGTGTGAACATTCATACTTTAATTTTTCTGAAGTTCCCCCATAAAAACATCAATTTTTTCTTCCTTTTACAAGATCTCACTGTAAATCCACCTGCAGCCTCTTTGGTTTTGCTCTGATGGACAGTCCTCTAGCTGAGACTTCCTAGTCTGTTTTCAGAAGAGCTGACTTAACATTCAAGTATTTTTAGACCTTTTTTTAAAAACTTTCCTTATCTTTTAGAGTTGCCTTTCTGCCTTGAAAAACTGTTCTGCTGTCACACCTATACCTTGTTTCCTGGCTGCAATGGGTTCTTTGGCACCTGATATTTGAATAAAATGCTGCTGAAGTACAATCTAGTCTTGGATCAAAGCTACAACAGCAAGGAAGCCTCACTGTTCCTCTATTTTCCCTATCACACAAGGGAGAAAGAGCTTAAATGACACATCCAGGACCACCCAGTGAATTGATGGGAATTGTCAGGAGTGGAATGTGCTGGTTTCCAAGCCAGCCCTATTGATCCTTGCTCTTTGATTAAGCAGTGCTTGCATCCTGTAGTATGAGCAAAGTTTATCCCTGCTAAACAGTTCCCTTTTTGTGTATAACTGCAGCCATTTTGCACAGTTTATTCCCTCAGGATTGGTTCCGCGTGCCGTGGGGAAACGAACCGTGCCAAAGGCACGAGATTGCCTCGGTCACTGATGTGGAGTATGAAGTGCTCAGCCAGGTTTCAAGCCCTGAAGTGTCACATTTCCTCAGAGAAGATTAAAAAACCTGTTTTACAGTTAGTTTTGTTTCAGAGCTGCTCGTGAGGATTTGCCACCGTGTGTGAACATAAGAAGCAGTTGCAGGGTCTGGTGTTGGCAACTGCTGTGGGAGCAGAGCTCCCGAGCCAGTGAACCCGAGCATTTCCTCTGTGCAGGTTTCCATGGATGCTATCATCCAGTGCCATATGTCTGAGGGAAAATCCATGAGGCTTATCATCTTCATTTAGTACAATTTCCCAGTTTATGGGGCCAGCAAGTAATATCAGCCCCCAAATTGTTAGAGGTAAAGAGATTGTAGGGTGTGTGCAGTCCATGAAGAATGGAGGATTCCCTCTATGCACTGGTGGGGGCATCAGGTATTTTTCACTTCTGTGTTATACCCCAGATATTGATGTATGATATTTTTCTCCCTCATGCCTGGCTTTATCTGTTTTTATTTCCCAGTCCAGTTTATTTGAATGCTGGAAATATTTTGCAGATCGTATCCAATACTGCAAGCACTGGCTCATCCACACCTAGAGCAGCAGAATTGAGAGCTCCAGAGGAGACAGGCTGCTGGCAGGTTATTTTTGTTTGAACAATTAATCTGACTTGTTGGTGTAATTTTGTCACCAGGGATGCATCACACAGTAGTATGGCAATGTCATGATATGGGAGTCAGGAATCAAAGGAAGTTGTTAGATCCCAATAGTCATCAAAGTGGAAAACTCAGTGTCACCTCCTGCCACCAATTAACAGCTTTGTGGAAATAGCTGAGTCAAAACTAGGGGTCTGAATTATACACTGTGGTTGGCTTCATTATAAATAGGATATGGAGGAAGTTATTTACCAGACACCACAATTTTCTTTTTAATACTTCGAGTGCTTCAAGCTGGCTGGGCTTTGTCTAGATGGGAATGTATACACTTCAAATATTGAATATCATCAAAGAACTGTCAACTCTTGCCTTTGAAATATACCCAGAATGGTCTTCTGAAAGCAGCTCCCATCCTATTCTGCAGAATGACTGCGGTGATAAATATTTATGAATCTGATTTCCATCACAGCAGTTGGTGTTGAGGTGCTGCAGGGCGGGACTGGACCCGCTGCTGTCAGAGCTGTACAGGTGCTCAAGGCATCACAGCACTTGTCTAGTACAGGTCACTCTGCAGTTTTAAATACTAAAATGGTCTCTGTAGAAGTTTTTTATCTGTATTTGACTGGATTACTGTAGAATAACATGAAACAGCAGCATTTTGTAACCTGCAGGAAGGCGTTACAGGCCCGGCTTTGTGGCTTCTGCCACCACTTGCTTTTACATCGCTGTTGCGCTCACGGGTTGGAGCTGCGCTGAAGAATCTTCCCCCACATGAAAAGTTCCTTCTATTCCAGCCGTGAAAACAATGTTTTGTGGCTCCTTTGAACGTTCCTGTCTCAGGGTTATAGATGAGCCAGGCAGGCAGTGTGGGGCACTTGAGGCCTTGCTGTTCTGTCATAGTTTGAAGGATGTAAAGGTGACACTGAGCCTCTGGCTGATCTCACCCTGTGCTTATTGAATAGATTTACTTTAAGTTACACTGTGCAGAGGTAATACCTCCTCAAGATGCATTTGCTCCAGTCATCTGGGTATTGCCTTTTCATGTTTGCTAGCAAAATGAAATGAAATCCTTGTTTGTATTCCATTGTTGGTGTCAGCAGATATTAAAGTGTTTTGTCATTCTGCAACTTACAATAATTACAGACTCGAGATCCTGGACTAAAGGATAAATGATGCTTAGTTTCCCTTCTGTATAAAACCAGAAATAAGATCATTATTTTGACTTATCTGTTTTTAATTTCCGGTGAGTTATTCTGGCTCATACACAATTCTCTCTCTGAGTTGTTTACAACTCTTCATGAATGGTGCAGACAGTCTGTGAGAGGCTGGCTCTGAGCCTCTCTCTCTGGGGTGAATAGTCCTGTCAGGAAAACAGGGAACCAGCCAGGAGTGCTGATTTCCACTGATGCTGTGACACCCATTTCATTCGTGACTTTCCTCTGCAGCACTGGCTACTGATTTCAAAAGCAATGATTTTGATAAGCATATGATTTTAATTTAAAAGCAGGAGCTTTATTTAAGCCCCTCTGGTCTGATAAGATGTGGGAACATTTTAAATAAGCAAATTGAACTTGGTCAGGATATTAAACTAAAAAAAAATTGAAATGCAGATTCTTCTAGAGGGCAAGTTGTTAAATTTTTTACAATATGTTAGTAATCAGGCTGCCATGACTGAAATCCAGGACTGTGGAAGGTTTAACATGGTCGTGTGCCAAAACTCAGTTATCTTCTGAAAACATCTGAATGCCCACCATTTTTAGGCTTATGAGAGTTTCAGTCTTGAGTCTTAATGTCATGAGAGTCCTTTAATTTTGTCAAGAGCTGTAGTAAATCTGCCAGTCATATCTGTAGGATGATCTGAAGTTAAAGTTAGCTCTTCTTTGAAGCAGGGATTAGACCAGATGACCTCTTGAGGAGTCTTCCAGCCCATGTTACACTGTGATTACGCAGCAGGGCAGGGCGTTTGCAGCGGGGCAGCTGCACAGTGGAAATCATGCAGCAAGTGTTCAGAGGAGCTTTAAAAGTGGTGAAGGAAAAGGTGCAGAACATGTTGTGCTGGAAACTGTGCAGCCCTGCCCTGAGCAGGTCTTCTGGACAGGAAAATATCCTGCCTGGAACATCAGCACGTACCTGTGAGTTCAGGCTTTGTGTGGATTGGGATCATGTCCGGTGACCTCACCTGGGCCTTGTTCTTGCAGGTATTACCTTACAGGAGCTGTTGGGAGCTGTTTATTTTGGAATTGCAGCGTGAGCAAAAGTGGGAAGAACTTCTGCCACTTCGCATCACTGTTAGAAAACAGGCACAGGGCCTCATGATGAAAAATGGAGCTTTTTGTTTTAGGTGCCTGGCTCAAGCTTGGCCCAGGAAGTAAACTTGCAATTGAAAAGAGTTGGCAGTTTTTCTGCTTGTTTACACTGAAAGAGTTCCCAGATTAGCTTTCTTGAGAGTTTGAAGAGACAGAAAACACAAACTGATTTTTCACTTACAGGTCAAGTTGGGGTTACTCTGCCAGACATGAACACAAGGAGTTCAAAATCAGATGCCTGATATCATTACTACGTGGAGGCATTGATTAGTGGAAATATAAAATGTCTTCGATGTTTGGCGAATTAAATACATCAATTCTTAAAAGAAAATTAAGTCTTTATCTAATGAATCTCCTTAGTGTCATAGTTATGTTAACATACTACTAGGATGAAGAATTTAAAGTGCCTTGCCGTGCTGGATGGTTTTGAGTCACACCAGAAGACTTAAAAGAAAAATATTTGATAAGTATGAAAATGAATCCTTGGTGGTGAAGGATTGCAATTGTTCTGTGAAAAACACACGAAGCCCAACGTCCCACGAGTATGTTGGGACTTAACAAGCAATCCTGACAACCAAATGTTTATCCTCTCAAATGTGAAGTTTCCCACGACTAAAAAATGGTATTTTTAAATCTTTGAGCAAGAATCGTATATGCATTAATATAATTTCTTGTTGAGTTTCTTGTAACACTTGGAAACTGTTCGCTGGTTGACTGAGCGGTGAGGCTTATGAGAATAAAAGCTTTCAATAAAGGAATTAAAAAATTGGCAAATGGCCTTGAATGCCTGTTGAAACATGTCTGAGCAGAACCCTTGGTTGCCTTAATATATTTGGTGCATTAGTGATCAGCTGTTCTGGTGTCCTGGAACATGTGTAGGAAGGTGGGATGCAGGACTAGGTGTAGCTTGGCTCAGCTCTTGCACAGTAGTGAGGTTTGAGTGTTCTTGCTGCTTTTGCAGCTGTCTTCGGGTCCTGGTTTCCATGCCTCCCTGCATCCATGAACCCACACTTCAGGAATTTTTCTTCCTATCAGCTTGATGTGCTTATATTTCAGATTACTGTTAGGTTTTTTTCCTCTGCACTTTAAATGTATTTTGTCTGCTTAATGAATTCCTTTGAGAAAGTACACTGAACATAGAGACCTTGGTGCATTGTTCCCTCTTTGGAACAGTGCTTTGTCTGAAAGTCAAATTTGTCAGGAAAGATTATTCAGGAGAGCTGCTGGGATTAATGTCACTCATCAATTGCACATGCATAAAACCACCTGACAGTTTTAAAACCTTTAAAAAGGCATTCTAGTTCATTTTCCTTATTCTGAGCTGGGTTTATGAGTTTCCTAGTGATGTTATTTATTGCTGATTTCTGCTCCTGAAGCACAGGATACTTGGAGATCTAAGGTTATAAAAGGGGATGGCTCATACAATAGTGGAGGATCTTTATGAGTTGCCTCATCTTTGGATGAGTGGTGACATGGCTTTCAGAGTGAGGAGCCTGTGATGCCTGGGACCACTGTCCTATCTTTTCTTGGAGACGTTGTCTTTCTTCAGCTCTCACGGGCCTGTTTGGCTGCCATGGGGATTGTGGAGACTGTCATGTTTTCAATTTGTGTTCTACAGTCTGCTTAAATACTTGAGTGAAAGAATATAGCTGAGAGCCCCACGGAAGGGTGATCTTTTCTCATGAAAGACTTCTGCTCTTCAGAAGTTAAACCCAAATATCCAAGGAGAAAGGAACCACCAAGGTTGTGATGGGCAGTCTGCTGCCTTTATGAAGGCTTTTATGTTATGGATATTTAAACAACTTTATGTGGTGTTCATTCTACATGTGTATGGGACACAAAGTGTTTCCTAATACCAAGCAAAATTTATAATCTATAGTGAAAGATCAAAAGCTGCCTCAATAGTATAACATGAAAGAAGAAATGTTTCACTTAAGGAGTCCAGGTGTGTTATTCACAAAGTTCATCTGTTTTGATGGGATGAGCTGGAGTGGGCAAGCTGGTTGTTCTGTAACAGCTTTTCTGCATATTGAAGGTTTGCTCTACAACACAACAGTAAGTACGAAAACAGTGGCTTTTTGCTCAGACCTAAATTTGAACCTGATGAAAAGGGTGCAGATGACATGGAGAGAAACGTAAATGCAGACTTATTGTTGTTTAAACTTAAAATAATCTGTAGTCAAATAATATGTAATGTAGATAACTGCCTCTCTCTCCCCCTTCCTTTTCAGGTGGCCATGGTGGAAGTTCAGCTCGACGCAGAACACGACTACCCTCAAGGGCTCTTGATAGCCTTCAGTGCCTGCACTACTGTCCTTGTTGCAGTTCACCTTTTTGCACTCATGATAAGCACCTGCATTCTTCCAAACATAGAGGCTGTCAGCAACGTGCACAATCTCAACTCTGTCAAGGAATCTCCTCACGAGCGAATGCACCGGCACATCGAGCTCGCGTGGGCATTTTCTACTGTCATTGGGACTTTGCTCTTCCTTGCAGAGGTGGTGTTGCTGTGCTGGGTGAAGTTTCTTCCTTTAAAGAAAAAAACTGATAATACCCCGCAGGGCAACAGTTCTACCATCACGTCGGGACAGGCAGCAGCCATTGCATCCACGTCTATTATGGTGCCCTTTGGATTGATTTTCATTGTGTTTGCAGTCCACTTCTACCGGTCACTGGTGAGCCATAAAACAGACAGGCAATTCCAGGAGCTGAATGAACTTGCTGAATTTGCACGGCTCCAGGATCAGCTGGATCACAGAGGTGATGCTGTCTCCTCAGCCGTTACCAATTTCGCGTAAACCTGTGCTTCAGGAAGATAACCCCACTGTTCTGCTTCTGCCTTACGTTGACTGCCCTGTGGATGAACGGGTTGAACTGCTGATCACTGTTTAAAGAGAGATTATAAATATTGTTCTAACCCTTTAGAGAAGGAAAAAAAACGTTCCTTTCGTGCAGTTTTTGCTGTCTGAAGGAAGGGATGGTGGGGTGTGACTGCACTGTGCGTGCAGCCCTCCTCCTGTAAACACTGTCTCGCTTATTTTCTCATTAATGCTGAATGGTGGCTGTATAAATACATGGAAAATAACATTGTACATTTGGGTATTTGCTGGGAATGGGTAAAGAAGTTGTTGAGGTTTTTTTTTTTTTCTCTGTTTATTTGATGTTGGCATTTACTAGAAGATACTGCTTGTCCGATCCATATTGCATGGCATGATACAAATTACTTGGGACATGCAGCAATTAGCACTTGGTTTCGGTGCTGGTGCTGCTCTCCCTGGAAAGCCTGACAGATGGTAGGAGCGAGAGCTTTCCCACCACTTTCCCCAGTATGTTTTGCTGCCAAGTAATTATTACTTTACTGATTTCTCCAGTGCCTTTTTCCCGTGGCACTTACACATTTTGTAACTTGCTAAACACCCCGGACTAGTCTTACTGTGATGTGGTGTGGCCACATGAGTAGGAATGAGACTCGACTCTTCCATGGAAGAAAATAAAAGCAATAACTGTTTTTAAAGTTCTCATGAGCTGGCAAATATTATCTGGAGAGATAGATCTGCCTGTTTCTCATTTAGGAATCTTTTTTTAAAAAGGAGGAACTAGATGGAAATTATCACTGGATAATTTTTTTTTTTTGCTTGAAAATCAGAACCACTGCTGTTTTTTTCCAAGCCAAAGTAGTAATTATTTTATACTTTTATATTGAAAATATATTTTTAATAAATCCTCAGATACAAGCAGCAAAAGGTGCTTTCTCTGTGTTGGATTCCCAAGTAATTAGCTATGCCTTGGTCTTCCTTGTTTAGAAAAGTCTTCTTGCTGAAGTGTTGTATATTTAATAACTCATTATACATTTTTTGATTCCAGAGGAATCTGGAAGACAACTCTTCTGGATGTATATTTATTTATGAAAGTAAGTTGTTTGTAATTAATATTGGCTGCTTACTTTCAGACACATCTGTGACAGCAAAGCTACAGTGTCATTCTTTATTTCCTCTTAAGGCAAAAACTTCCATTTGGTCTCCTAGATAAGAAGTTTGTTCAAGAAAGTTTGCAGCAGTTGTCCTGGGCTGCTTCAGTAATTGTGGCTATGTCTAGGAGTGGGATTTTTTGGAATACAGTTCTTCTAGGGAGTGGCTCTGGGATTTAATAGGTAAAAGCTGTTTTTTGAACACAAACTGAGACAGGTTTCAAGTCTTAGGGAAAAAACTTGAGCTCCCTGTCGTAGCTGTCACTGTGGAATGGAAACCTGGGATTTTGACCTGAGACAGGAGTGACTGTGACAGGACAGTGGATTTGTACCTGACAGCCTGGGCTGAACGTGGTCTCACCAACCTCCATCTGGGGTTATCCCAAGGTATTTACAAACTGCAGGATGTGCCTGTGGAGTTTGGGTGCAGAGTGTGGTTGCTGCTGCAGGAGCCTCTGAAGCAGATGGGGCTGATCTCTCCTGTCAGCAGCACCACAGTGCAACGTGTTGACAAGGTCACCCGTGGTGCCTTTGTATTGTCACAAACAACTATAAAAAAAAAAACCTGCTGGGCTGTTCTTTTCAGCAGCAGTCTCTGTTCACAAGCAGCAAACAGCTTTGCACTTGCTGTTTTCACAAGTCCTTCTGGCATACAGAGGCCAAACTGGATTTTCTCAGCTCTGCCATTACGTTGTGCTTCAAATCTGTTCTATTCCTGATGTAAATCTGATGGTGAGGGTTGTAACTACAGTCCCACAGGTGCTCATTCATGGAGCACGGGAAGGATTATGTTAGTAAAGGCATTAAGGGAGCAGCATTCCAAAACAGAAAGTCTTGGTAATAGGCACAAAATGTATTTTCCCATCCTTTACTGGAATACTAGTCCTGTCTTGGGGAAAAACTCCTGAAACCTCTCAGTAAAAGAAGAAAACCTGACTCAGTATTCACACTTGAGCAAAGGGTGCTGTCAGGCTTAAAAATTGTACTTCTGTCCATAAATTGTGTGTTTAAAAGTTACACAGTTCTGAAGGAAGCCCAGAACATCAGTTTTCCAAGTTTACTTTGTAAAAATTACTTGCTGTCCTGGATAAGCAGCTGAATTTCCTGTTGTTTTGTTAACCTTTTACAAAGTGACAGAGAAGTATGGATTTTTGGTGGGTTTTTTTGTTTAAGAGATACAGACTTCAAAGCTAGTGGGACAACCTTAATTTTAACTTTCTCAAACTGGTAGGCCCTGAGCTAGTGGCACTGTTATTGCAGCTGCTTTTCTGACTCTTTGCTGCACTTTAAGCCATGATATTGAGTATGTTTCTCTCATTTTTCACCTGTGGAAATGGTCATGAAAGTTACACCTCGGGTACCTTTGTCACTGTGTGCCCAGGCAGTAACCAGACACAAATACGTGGATCTAAACATTAAGAGTGCACTTAATTTTTTTTTTTTAATCCCTTATTTATACTAACGGTGTTAGGAGGCATTTACCTCAAGCATTTTAAACATTGGTTATTGTATATCACTTGTTTAGATATAAAATACTTTCATGAAATAAAATCTACTTAATTGTTGCTGATTGTTTGTTATCTAGAGGCCTAAAGTATACTTATTAATTGAAACATGATCTGTTGTAACTTCAAAAGCCATTTGGGGTCACAGGTATGTATTGGGTTAAGTTTGGGGGGAGTTATTTGATTGTACTTTTCTAGGGCCTTGCTTTTATAGCAGATACTAAAAGCCCTTATTCTCTAAGGCAAAGACCTTGAAACCAAGAGGAGTGTGATTTCTTTACAGCAGGAGTAAATCAGAGGAGCTGAGCAGAGTCCCCCTGCCTGTCTTCCAGTGTTTTGCTGCTCATGGTTTTTCTTTTTTTTTTCCCTCTTTTATTTTTTTCCTTTCTTTTCCAAAATAATGAGGGTGGGAAGAGGCTACTGAGCAAAGCCAGCTGCAGAGTGAAGTGTACCTGAACAGCCTTGAGGGAAGAGTGAAGCAGACCATGATACACCACAGTGTGGATTTGACACTCAAATGAATACGTAACTCAGGACTGTTCTTATCTTACATCTTTTCTTTTTTTTCAGCTTCCAGTTATTAATTATTGCTGTCATCAAGCAGTGCCTGGGCCTCTGCTAAAACACCAGCTGGATCATCTAGTTCAATCTAAATAAAAAAAATACAAATCAGTTATGCAGTGTAATTGAAGAAGCTTAAGGTTTTATGGATCTCGATTACTCAAGCATTCACAGAGAGTCTCCCATGTATCAGGACTTAGTTCATATTGCAGCCTTTCAATTATTGTTTTAGAAACACTGCTACACTTCCCTAATTTTATTAATGTGTTGAACATCACTTCATCTCCTTGAAATAGCTCTGTGGAGTGGCTGAATCTCCTTTAACTAAACACATTCTTGGACAAAACAAGAATGGCTTTGATTTGTAGCCTGTTGGATCTCATAATTTTTAAAAGAGTGTGTGCATGAAAAAGTTTATGAGCATCTGTTAACTTCCTTCATATTCTGAGATAAACAGCTCTCTACCGATTAAAAGCACAATAACAGCAGTGAAAGTTGATGCTTTCTTTTTCCACCTAGAGCAGCAGAGAATTGGGTCTTCAGGGAGTTAAATAAACAGTCAGACTTGAACATCCTGCATTGCCCACCAGCACTTCATCCCAGACTGTTGGGTTGTTGAGGCTGTTCTGGGTGACCTTTGACAAACCACATAAGGTAAATATTTTTAGCTACAGAAGTGCTGCTCCTTTCACTCTTTTGGAAAAATAGAGATTGTTTTTCCCTGGTGGGTATTTGGGGTTTATTACTCTGCACTACTGTGGGTGTGCCTAGTGCTTACAGGATTAACTGGCTTGTCAAAACTGTTTCTGCTCAAAGGGCCCTTTGCTACAGAAACCAGATTTGAAAAAATAGGGGCAGTGAAGGTGTAGGAGCTGTGAGCTTTGGAAGGCTGCACGTGCCAGGTATCATTTGCAACAGCCTTGTCCCTGGGGCAGGGGAAGGTAGGTGGATTTACCTGCTTATGGGGCTGTGCTATTCCCAGTGTTCCTGGAGCAAAGCAGTGTGCTGTGGTTATCCAGGGTGGTTCTGCTTGGCTCCAAGCAAAGAGGAGCTTCCCCACCCCTTCCTGCAATAACCATCCCCTGGAAATGTGATGCCTTTGTGTTCAAGCTGAGACTCTTGGCCAGCTGTGTCACTTGGAACCACATCTGTTCACTATGGCTCCCATTCCCTGTCTTCCTTCAAGGGCAGAGCAGGGGAGAGGCTCTCCTGTCCTCTGGCTCTTTTACCAAAGTGACCTGGTGGCTGCCAAGTTGAGAGCCCAATGTGTCAGTGTCTCCCCAAGTCTTTGTGATGGAGACAAGCACTGACTCTTCCTCAGCAGTGTGTCAGTCATGGGAAAGGGGAGCAGAGGATGTTGGCTCTGGGACACCATCTGCCCACCTTGGGACCAGGTGGGAAGCTGCACACACCCTGCTGCCTCTGGGGCTGCTGGACATGATGAGCTCCTGACTTGGAGTACCCAGGCAGAGAGGAAAGAGCTGCTGTGAGCCCTGCAGCTGCCCGGGGTTCTGTAGGGTCTGCTCAGCTTCAGCAGTTGGGCTTGGGGAAATCGTTTGGTTTTGACGCAAATCCCACAATTGTCTCTGCCTCTATTGTCCCCGTTTCCTTTGTGCTGCCTCAGGTCTCTGAGCAGTTCTGGTGCATGAGAACTGCATTTTTTCAGATGTAGGTGATTAGGAGGCTCCAGCAGAGGCTGGATGAGCTGTTTGTCCCTATGGGGCCCTTGAGGACACTGCTGGCCAAAAGACACTGAGCACACACCCTGTGAGTGCGGAATCCCACGGGGGTAATCACTGGAGGAGTGAAACGCTACCTGGAGAGCTGATCCAAGTGCTGATGGATGCAAACACTGAAATTTCCAAGCAATTACCTTTGGGATTGGATACTCAGTAGGGGCCGGAGCTTTGTCTCTATCAAAGTCAACCAGAACTCCACACTTTGCTATATCTTCTGCCCAGGTGCCTTCTAACAACTGTCCCTTATCCACGTAGAAGTATCTCCCTGGGCCATTCTTCTTTCCATCTTTCCAACCTCCTTCGTACCGATTTCCATTTGCTGCAGTTAAATACATGAACAGACCATTTTTTTAAGGGGTTACAAATGAAAACAATCAACAGAGCAAACTGACAGAGAAGGAGGTGATGTATTTGGCTTCTCTTAGTAATTTCCAGGGGGCTGCAGCACAGTGTGTCATTTTGCTTTTGCTCTGTTTGCTGCGCTGCAGAGGGAGAAAGGGCTGTGGAAGGAGCTCACGCTTGCTCAGCTGGAACAAGAACTGTGTTCACCTGCTTTGTTCTTACAGTGATACTCATTTTTTGCTGATACACTGAGCAAGTGAGCTCAGGGTAAGGGACTCGTCACTGAGTCACTCCTCACAACGTGAAAAATTACAGGACACAAGTTTCAGATTTGTCACTGCAACAAATCACACAGGATCTCTGGCTTGAAGAGAGAGGTTTGCTTGTCTGGGCAAGGAACAGAGCACTGACTGCTGTCCAGGCAAAATAATCTTGATTTCAAAGAATACTTGCAGTTAGTTTTTCCTCAATGAATTAAGGCTGAGAATTGCTGTGAGTATCTGAGCAGTTCAGGCAGTTACAGACTCTTTTTCCAGCTGTACTGCTTCTCCTGGCGTTTTTCTGCAAGTTGAGAGAGGTTATTTTTGGGCTCTGTGCTACTCTCCAGTAATCCATCCATCCATCACTAACAGGGAAAGCAGAGCTGCAAGGAGAGGAGAGCAGCCTCATCCGTGGATGCTGGTTGAGAAGCAGCATCATAACCACAGTGATGCTGGGATACCTCAAGGCCATCCTGCTGTCACTGGGAGAGTCCTCTGCTCTCCCCTTTGCCTACATATAGTGTTTCTAAGCCCAAAACCATGGGAATTTCTGATAATTAGTGGAAGTACCTTTGAGTCTCAGCTGAACTTTGCCATTCCTCATGACAAGAAGTGGCTGAAATACCAGGGCACCCTGCATGGTGCTGCAGAGGTAGCTGGGGCCTGCCAGAATGCTGTAAGGAGGAAAAACCAAAAATGCTTCTGTGGAGTGTGGCTGCCTGGCTGCTCAGGCAGGCTCTGGTTCATAGGCTGGAGCTGTGGTGGTGGTTATCTGCAACTTTGATCTGGTTTTGTGCTTATCTGCAACACCAACCCACCCTGCCCAGTGGTAGGAGCAGCTCAGCTCCTGCACTCCAGCCACCAACAACTGAGAAACCACCAAAATCACAGCCCTGGCTGTGATGGAGGGTGTACAGAATGCCCTGGCTGCACCGTGGTGTCCAGCTGCTCCCATCCCCTCTCAGAGCACCGGAGGCTGTGTGTTCACTGCTGTGATCCCAGTGGACATGCTCCATTTGGGAATGGCCGTGGCAGAGGTGGCAGAGCAGCGTGGTGCTCCCAGCCGAGCTCACCCTCTCTGGGCACGCTGCCACTACAGGCAATTTAATCTTGAGCTGCAGCTCATCGTGACCTCCACTGGAGAACTCCTTTTCTTTCACATCGCAGAGCTGCCGGCACGTGGGCACCCCTCCAGCACTGAGCTGGATGCATTAGGCTTGTGGGTATGAAATAATTGCTCTGGCTAATTTTAACCAAAAGGAATCCAGCTCGCAGTCGGTTGCAGGCAACGCTGGAGGCAACGGGGCTCTGAAATGGTGCATCAGCCACGGCTCAGCCCACAGGGGCTGTCAGTTTATGACTAACAGAGACTTGGGTGGGAGAGCAGCAGATCAGTGGAAGGTTTCTCCCTGGAAGCAGGTGCTCATTTCATCCGGATGGGCCATTGGTCCAAAGTGCCTGTGATGTGCAGTGAAGGTCATGCCCATTCCTCCCAGCTGCTTTGCTTAGCTAATTACTAGTCTTGAGATCACTTTCAAGCAAAAAAATAGAATAGATGAACACTAATATGGAGATAATATTTCTTCAAATGTTCTTGGAATGTCATGCCTTGTATTGCAAAGGACTGGGATTCTTGGCTTCAGGGAAAAATGTGTTAAACTCCAAGGAAAATATGGGGAAAAAAATTTCAGATTTCGGTATTTATGATGAGATTGCCCCTAACATTCCAAATCTGTGATGTGCTTGGTATTATTTATGGAAAAGGATTGTGTACTAATGAAACCCCTGTGTTCACTCAACATGAGCTGCTGTCGGAAGTAAGAGAGGGGATGGAGTGAACTCAGCAAGAAAATTCTCTTGTTTTTTTTTCCCTGTGCTGGAAACTGGACTCCTCTTTGGTATGCAGAGCTAAAAAGTCTGTCTGGCAAAGTGCCTGGCTTGAAAAGAGAGATTTGCTCTTCTCTGACCCAACAGTATATTATCTCTAACCCGAACCATCCCAGTCATTTAAATGTAAATCACAGCAAAAATAAGCTTTCATGTGTGTGGGCCTGAGCAACGCAGCCCTCACACAGCCTGTACTGCCTCCAGCCCCAGACCAGGAGGGGAGGGATGACCTGGAGCAGCCACAGCCCTGCTGCAATGCATGGAGCATCCA